GATGAAGAAAGCCAGTCTAAATTCGCATGTACTACACTCATTCCAAAAGTTCATGTACACAGCAATTACGCTATGGATGGTATCTTCTCAAATAAATAAATAAAACTAAGATAAGAAGACCACTTCAAATCCCTCCATTACTGCTTATGATGCAATTGGAGTAGAAAAGAAACAGCAGCGCTATCAATTAGCACGAGGATAGAGATACCTTAAAAGAGCTTCATCAAGCAAATCCTTTCTGTTTGTCATTCCAATAAGCAAAACATTGTTCAAGGCCTCCACACCATCTATCTGGAGAAAAGTGTTAGCCACATCCGTGGAAACTCAGAGTAAACTGACAATAGGTTGATCTTTTACTGACCTTTGTCAAAAGCTGGTTTACAATACTATCATGGACACCTGTGCCATCCCTGGTCGAGCCTCTTGACTGAAAATAAAAGCATACCATTTTTACATTTTATTGTTGATACTCATATAACCAGCAGATTCCATGTAAACTATCAATATCTAAACTCCAGAGCAAAACATGGTCTCGGCACAGTAAGAAGCAAGATCTGTTAACCAGAATTAACGAGACTGGTCATCTTTTCATTTTCAAGTTAGCAAAATTATCTCCTAGAATTTTTTTCTAAGAAAAAATATAGATAAAGTAGTGTACCTTACAGATAGCATCAATTTCATCAAAAATAATGACATGCAACTCACTAGCATCACCTGAGAAAGAAAATAAGAGTATGCAGTTAGCAAATACGTAAGAAAAAAAGAAAAAAAACAGATCCAGAAAAGCAGTTTTTGCTTACCAAGGGTCCTCTGGTCTTGCTCAGCATCAGCAAATAAGTCTCTTACATTCTTTTCTGTCTCACCAACAAACTTGCTCAACACCTCAGGACCATTAACGATCTATTATGCCAGTAAAAGAACAGGCACATTAAAAATGTAGATTTTTGGAACAAGGGCATTAAATCAACTAAGAAACTGATTTAACCAAGCATTAAAATGTAGTAAACAATTGTAACAAACAATTAAAGTAAAGTCTGACGCTGCCAATGCATCAAGAAATAGTGAGAGAATTAATAAGTCAATAACAGGTTCTCGCCAAAGGCGTCCCTTTAATTAGGCTAATAAAATACATCACCAAGCAATAAAAAATTGTAGGTGTATAAATGCGTGTAAAATCCTGGATATAAACAGGAAATTAAGGACAACAAGCCTGTAAGTGATGATAACTCTTCTTACGAGAATAATAAGAGGATCAGCAATACCTTTGGATCCTTTCCATTCAGCATCTTTCCAATTTGCCGTGCCATTAGCGTTTTGCCAGTACCAGGAGGTCCAAAAAGAAGCATCCCTTTAACGTGCTTTATTCCCAATCTGCAATAACAAGAGAAATAAACTTAAACTATATACAGAATACAGTCTAACATTTGCTTTGAAGAATGAATCACAGACCTGCTCGTGACATGAGGAGGAAATACACGAGATGCAAAAGCTCTCCTAAATATATCAGCAAACTCTGCACCCAAACCACCTATGCCCAGCGACTCAAGGTTAAATTCCTTATGCTTAAATATATTGCTGCTAGCAGCTTCACGTTGGTTGACAATCTGCATAAGAACATGCAAGTTTAAAATGATGATACAAGATAGCAATCCACATCTGCTTCCATAAGATAGCAAACATCATATGTAGTATTATGTTTACTATTTTAAATGTAAGATTGAATAATCATTTGGTACAAATTTTTAGAGTAACTGATCCAACAACACATAGCTATAGAGAACTTATCAAAATCAGACCTTTATGCCACTTGCATTTGATGCTTCAAACACAATGTATGTATCTTGACAGAGCATCCCTCTTTCGATGCCATTAGATTGACCCTGACCCTCTACATCCGCTCGATTGACTGTAAGAATGTAATTAGTTCCATGATACTCAAATGTCGCTTTCTGGCCTACAGTCAAGACCTGCAGCAGTGTGCATCGTTTCAATAAATTAGGGCTGATATGATTTCGTTAGAAACTAAAGGCCAATTAACCATATAAATAACACCACATAGTCCAGAAACACGTGGGTTATACCCTTAAGAATATTACAGGGATTTTCAAGAATAGTCACCAATTGCATTCATTGATGACCAATGTTTCAGCATTAAAACAATGTGAAAGACGAGATCCATGTACACTTTGTTTCAACTAGAAATCTATAGCAGCTAATCTGTTTCATATAGGCCTCAAATGTCTAGGAATCATCGTTTCTCTCATTTTCCTCTCAGATGCATGCTTAAACCATAGCACGAGACTCGTGTATCTCTAGAAACCGAAAATGTAGGCGAGTACAGACACTGCAGAACAAGAAGATATCTACCTGGTTGGTGTATTTCCTCTTAAGTTGGGTTGAAAGAAGAGCAGCATCAACCTGTAAAGTAATATTGTACAGAGAGGTTGAGTTTGATCACAACCTGCAAAGATCCCAAGAAAAACATCATAGATATCAACAAACCTGCTCGCTTTTGGTCCCTTTCTTTACAAATTCTAACTCAAGCGTCAACATAGCCAAGTCAAAATTTTCTGGAGGAACAAATCTGCAAGAATAAGCAAGTCTTTAGAAACCAAAAAGCCTCGAGACAAAACAAGACGATTATGGTAAAAATCTATATGAAAACTACCTGCTAACAGATACCATATCACCAGTCGAAACTCTAGCATGTCGCCGTTGAATAGCATTCAGAGCAATATTTCCATCACGAATGCTTCCATGTCCAGTAATCAACAGTTAAGGAAACAAAATGAAACCAGAAAAAGCATCTTAAAATGAACAATAACACAAGGAACCCAGAATTCTGAGTATTCATGAAACTAATTCATGACAATCATAGATCAATTAAGAAATCTAAGAAACAATTTCCAAACCAAATGAAAAAGTGGCTGATATTCAAATTCCGAGACCGATTCGGGGAAATTCACAAGTACTGGCATTGCAATGAGACAAATGGATCGTCAAATTAAGAAAAAAAGGATATCAAAGAGAAAGAATGAAGCTATCAGCGACGTTGGCGAGGAAGAGATCGGAACCGGGAACGGAGAATTGACGGAGATCGGAAGAGGAGCAGTAAGCGAGGTTAGTGAAAGCTAGATCTGCCGATGGAGTATTAGTCACCGTCATCGTCGTGACCTGCGATCCGTAACGACCCGCCATGGCTGGTTTTCGATCTCTGGCTTATTTTTTCCGATTTTGTATCCTTAGCGAAGAAGAAATTAAGGAC